TATTGTAATGAGCAATTTTGTAATAAATTTTGTAATAAATTTATTTTGATCTCTCCCAGGGATGTGAAAAGTGAAAAGGTGGTCCCAGCAAGGCCTAGAGCAGCGGGTGTTGTCTGGTAAGAAAAGGATGGTAACAGGTTGGGGGCTGGGGAAAATAGGTACCCACGAATCCAGGGAACGAAACTGTAGCTGTGGGCGCGTGGAACATTCAGCGCCCGAGTTACCAGGTGTTGCAGGCGGGGCCTCCTTTTTGGCTGACTGGGTCAAGAGTCCCAAAGGTTAGGTAAGTGCTTCTAAAAAGAAAAGAGGGTCGGAGACAGGAGGCCCAGAGAGGGCGTGGGAGACTTCGGGAGATGGTGAGGACCCCCTTAGCACACCAGGGTGCAGCACCGCCCCCGCCGTGGGTGAGGGGGGCGAAGAGGCAGCACCTGGAGTGGAGGAGGGCAGGAAGAGGGGCAGGGCGGACCTGCGTAGTTCAATTGCCCCCCCGCACACAATGACACCCCCACTCCACGAACCTCTCTTGGTCCGCACTGAAAACCCCCTGCACCCTACGCACAATCCGGTTGAAACACCTAGCCTATCTCTGAGCCTCACAGAAAAAGAAGTAGAAAAATACACCCAACTGACAACAGTTCTTACTTTGAGGAAAGGGACTGTTAAAGAAGAAAATATGGGCTGGGCGCAGTGGCTCACGCCTGTAAATCTAGGAGGCCAAGGCAGGTGGATTGTTTGAGCTCAGGAGTTTAAGATCAGCCTGAGCAATAGGGAGATTCCGTCTCTACTAAAATAAACAGAAACAAATTAGCTGGACAACTAAAAATATATAGATAAAATTAGCCAGGCAAGGTGGTGCATGCCTGTAGTCCCACCTACTTGGGAAGCTGAGACAGGAGGATCGCTGGAGCCCAGGAGTTTGAAGTTGTTGTGAGCTAGGCTGACGCCACCGCACTGTAGCCCCGGCAACAGAGTGAGACTCTGTCTCAAAAGAAAAAAAAAAGAAGAAGAAGAAATGGAGATGGATAAAATTAGATCAAAGAGAATCTGTCTTGTTTAAAACTTTTACATAAAATTTTTTTACAAGATTGTATGCACATAAAGGGGCACAGTGGCTCATTCTGTAATCCCAGCTACTAGGGAGCCTGAGGCGAGAGAGTCGCTTGAGCCCAAAAGTCGGAGGCCAGCCCAAGCAAGAGCGAGATCCCATCTCTACTAAAAATAATAATAATAAATTACAGAATAAAAAAAGATTGTATGACAGACTATGACTAAAATAAATATTTTTAAAATATTTTTTAAAAATATTTTTTAAATATATATTTTAAAAAATATATTTTAAAAATATATATATTTTTTAAAAATATATTTGAGGCAGTGGCTCAAGTCTGTAATCCTAGCACTCTCGGAGGCAGAGGCAGGAGGATAGCTGGAGCTCAGGAGTTTGAGGTTGCAGTGAGCTATGATGATGATAATGCCACTGCACTCTAGCCCGGGTACTGGGTAACAGAGTGAGACCTTGTCTCAAACCAACCAACCAACCAACAAACAAAACAACAAACAAACAAAAACAAAATTGTGAAACAAGCTCAATTTGACCAAACTTAATCATTCCTTCCCCTTATTAAACTTCCTTTTCCAGCATATCCTAATTCCGATAATTAACAAAACCGTTCTGTGCAATTCCTTCTATCCTTGTAATACAACTAAAAAAAAGTATAAATAATTTTGTTTCAAGGACTGGGTACATAAAGAGTCTGAGTCCAAACGAATATCAAAAGCTTATAAAGGTTTAGGTTTGTTTCTATTGTAATGAGCAATTTTGTAATAAATTTTGTAATAAATTTATTTTGATCTCTCCCAGGGATGTGAAAAGTGAAAAGGTGGTCCCAGCAAGGCCTAGAGCAGCGGGTGTTGTCTGGTAAGAAAAGGATGGTAACAGGTTGGGGGCTGGGGAAAATAGGTACCCACGAATCCAGGGAACGAAACTGTAGCTGTGGGCGCGTGGAACATTCAGCGCCCGAGTTACCAGGTGTTGCAGGCGGGGCCTCCTTTTTGGCTGACTGGGTCAAGAGTCCCAAAGGTTAGGTAAGTGCTTCTAAAAAGAAAAGAGGGTCGGAGACAGGAGGCCCAGAGAGGGCGTGGGAGACTTCGGGAGATGGTGAGGACCCCCTTAGCACACCAGGGTGCAGCACCGCCCCCGCCGTGGGTGAGGGGGGCGAAGAGGCAGCACCTGGAGTGGAGGAGGGCAGGAAGAGGGGCAGGGCGGACCTGCGTAGTTCAATTGCCCCCCCGCACACAATGACACCCCCACTCCACGAACCTCTCTTGGTCCGCACTGAAAACCCCCTGCACCCTACGCACAATCCGGTTGAAACACCTAGCCTATCTCTGAGCCTCACTTACCTGCCGCTTCTGATGGGGCCCCGCACACCTACAGCATCTCACGCTAAAGACCTGGAACCTCTACGACCGCCTGTGCGCACCTACCCGGATCCACTAAGGCTGAAGCCACTTCCGGTGGAAGTAGCCCCCTGGGGTGTGTAAATGGGGGGACGCCATGTTGCACGGAACCGGCTGGAGACTCTGTTGCCTCTCCAGCACTGCGGAGCAAAGGATATGTTAAAATTGGAACGGCTTAATATCTGTTTTCAGAAAAGCGGTGCCTTTATTTCCGGGACTCTTTTTTTTTTTTTTTTCCGCCAGTAGAGACATTCGCCATGTTGCCCACGCTGCTCTCGAACACTTGGGCTCAAGTGAGTCACCCGCCTCAGCCTCCGAAAGTGCAGGGATTAGAAGCGTGAGCCACCGCTCCTGGCCAATTTTGGTTTTAGTTTTGGAGGCAGAAGCCTCTAGAACCCTCACAAATGCAATATAGGACATCTAACATTAATTCTTATTATCCCGGGTAGTGTTTCTCTGCTACATAAATTTTCTAACTGCTAAATGATGACGGTAAATAGGAGAGATACTTTAAGTAATGTATTTCTCATTAGCAATGCCTACTATCCTATAGCCATTATAATAGGTTGTGCCATTTTTCATAACAATAGCCACAATGCTTCCATTTATATATGGTTCATTCACTTTGTCTTTATTTGCAGCTAATGCGTGCTATATGCTGTTCCTTTGTTATGGAATGTGTAAAACAGAGAAACTTAGTTGTGCATAAAAAACCAATGTAAAGCATAATAATGGCCATTTGTGGACCATGTGCTCACTGTGTGCTAGGAACTTTGAAAAGTGTTTTACTTATTTTATCTCATTTAATCTTCATAATAATGCCATGTGGTGATACTATTATATTATTAGTGCCATTTTACATAAAGTAGAGAAAGGTTAAATAACTTTCTTGAGGTAATTCAGCAAGTAAGCATTGAAGCTAGGAATCACATCTAGGTATGTCTGATTGCAAAACTTGGTGCCCTCATCCACTATTTTTTTTCTCCTCATTTTTGGCGGGCCAACCGGTAGCAGCGGGCACCAACTGTTCGCACCCGGATTTTCCCTCACGGCATAATCATGTGCCAAAGAACTAAATTAAAACTTGGTTCAGAATTAGCGAACACTCTGTTAAACATCAGAAGAATCCAATCATAAAAATCATCTTTGTATGCTTTTCTACCACGATAGGAAACACACCAGACCTTTCATGACGAGGTCAATCGTCTCTAGAAGACGGGTCAACAAATAAATCAAAATAAAACAAAACTTCTAAAGTCAATAAAAATACTTCATACAGCTATCAATAGCACCTTCCATCACCGAGCTACAAAAGGACTTTAAGCTAAGGAACTAGTGCAGGATATTAAGGAATGATAATATATATATATATTTTCTTGACGACCAGAGTCTCGCTTTGTTGCTCAGGCTAGAGTGAGTGGCCGTGGCTCAGCCTAGCTCACAGCAACCTCAAATTCCTGGCTCAGGCAATCCCCTGCTTCAGCTCTCCTGAGTACGCTGCGACTGACACGGCATGCACCCACCATCCCGCGGCTAATTTTTTCTATATATATATATAATATATATATATAGTATATATAATATATTAGTTGGCCAATTAATTTCTTTTATTTATAGTGGAGATGGGGTG